GATAATACTAATAATTAAAAATAATGTTCCCTAACGCTTAATACCCTTGTAGTGGTTATTTATAGTTATATTTACGTAATTTTCGTGTTTAGTATAGATTCTCTTATACTTACGAGATGGAAGTGGCTTATAATATTGGTAAGGTAATTTTAGTTAATAAGGTTAATTATTACCCCTTTTAATATTTCTTTTAATGCCGGGTAAGGTCTATCTATTATTAATCCGGTTATTCTTATATTAATTTATATAATAGGACGTAATAAATAAGTATCTACGCCTTCGCTTAATTACTATAGCTATACGCAAAGGCCGCCTTCTTAATTAGAGTAGTCTATTTAGTAATAGGGTTATTCTCCTTGAATTAAAGGGACCTTGTAGTAGATTTAAGAATATATACCCTATATGAGCTTTAGTGCGGCGTAATTATTCCCGATACAAAATTGGGCTTAGTATTAAATAATTGGATATTTAAGACGAAGTATATAATTATATTAAGGTAATTAACGACGATAAGGATAAGGATAATAAATTAATTTAATATTAGGTAGAGAGAATACGGGAGGTACAGCGGCGGAAGGAGGCAAGAAAGGAGGAAGCTATTAAAATATTTTCAATTGGGTTATTTGACGAGTTTTCTGAGCTGTTAGATGTCAGTATTCAGACTGTAATTAAATAGAAATAGACCCATTTTCAATACTATAGAAATATCGTGAGATTTGAGTTATAGGGGCGCATTTGCAGGTGACCAAGCTACGAATGTTACCAGACATCAAAAACATGGAAATTTACCGCTAAAACTCGATAATTTACATGTCGGCTGACATGGGGTGCGGGTAGGAATGGTTGGGGTGCGGGTAGGCTTTCCCTAAAGAAAGCCCTTATATCGCTGTATATTACTTCGAGAGACGTTTTGAATTATTTCGACAATATATCTTGTTTCTAAAGTTTAAAATTTAAGATTGGTAGTGTCGTATTGAGTTTTAGGTACGAGGAAGCGGTTATAACTATAGTGTTTATTGGGTCCCTTATATTGAAGTACCCGAACTAGCCGATGAGAATGCTCGTTGGGAATTCGTAGAACTCTAGGGTTACTATGTTACTACTATTAGCCTAGAATTAGAAAGAGTTGGTTAGTAAGGTGAAGGGGATCCTTTATCCGTTATTATTAGTAATAATAAAGGCGAATTCCTTCCTACCTTTAACCTTCTATCCTGAATAGTTAATTATATACAACGTTATAGCTAGTATATAAATAATTATTATCTTCGAGTTAAACGATTTAACTAGGGTGTTCTTTAGTTTAATAATTGTATTTTTAAAATCTATTGTTTTTATTTTCTAAGAAATTACTATCCCGATTTATATTTTATACGAAATTTTAATTTAAAGTATTAGTTATATAACGGGGAAAGAAATAATAATTATATAAATAACTATAACCGGATAGTTATTATTGGATAGTGTATAAATACGGATTTATAGCTTTATATTAATTATAACGCTATTATTAATTATATCGCTAAGTACTATTTAAAAGTAGAAAAGTAGTCTAGACCTTTCAAAGATATTATTTAATAGATTATACCCTATATTATTTCTAATAACTATATCGTTTCTTTTCCTATAAAGATAATAAATTGGTTTATTACCGAGCGAAATTGGTTTGCCTAAGAAATTAGTTATTTATTGCTTGGTTTACTTTTGGAGTAGAGTACCCGAATTGTTATTAATATAGATTATTGTAATTTAAAAAACTCCCTAGACCGGGAGTGCTTATTAGATAAGGCTAGCAAATCTAGATTTGTACCTAATATACCAAATATTTATCTCGCCCTAATAATTTTGAAAATATTAATTACTTTGAGTAATTTATCTAGTTCGATATCGCTAATAATCGACGTTTTAGAGGCCGGGCTAAGAAGAGGGTGTTGAATTACTACCTAATTTACAAATTCGAGGACGATAATTAAAACGAAGATTAGTATAGAATTAAATTAATATTATATTATCCTTATTGTACCTATATTAAATTGTTTAGTATTATAAATTGGAATAGAACTCGGGAAGAGTTAGAGATTTACTCTAATATATATTTAATTTATATAGAGGTTTATACTAGGGATTTAGATTACCCTTACGATTACTATAGTAATATATCCGACGGCGAACCCGATAATAATTTCGAACCCCCTACCGAATAGGAAAGGTAGAGAGAGCTATAGTAAGTCTTAGTTAGAAATCTTCCTTATTATTAATAAATTGAAGATAATGGCGATTTCGGTATGTTTGGTTATTATAATTAAAATGTTTTATATAATTAGTATAACTATTTAGGTTATTAAGATTTATTAGAATTGTGATAGGATTATTAGAAGAATATGAAAGTTAATAACCTATAGTTAGTAGCTAATATTCCTACTCTTATATCGTAGGCTATCTAGAATTTCAATACGGAATAAAAGGTTATTTTTAATTAATTTATTCGTTATTATTAATCTATTCTTAATTATAACGATAATGTTCAATTGTATCTACGAATTCTACCTTTACTTTTATAGGTTGATAGCCGTAGAGGTATTAGAAAGTTTTTTTTTATTAGAATATTATTATTTAAATTCGAATAAATAGTTATAACCTATAATAAGACCTTACTAATTATTAAATATACTCTAACGGGGGTAGTAGCTGATAGTATTAATGGTTAAACCTTATATTTTTTATTCAAATTCCCTATTATTCCTAAGAATATTAATTAAAACGATTCTAAGGTAATTATTATAGTATTAGAAAGTATTAATCTAATTTAATTTTAATGCTAATTACAGCCGTATTGTTACTTTATTATTAATAACAAGTTTATACTAGGACTTCGAATTCTCAATTTCGTTAATTAAAAATTGTATTAAACTTTCCCTAAATCTCAGAATTAATTATTTAGTAATAAAAGTGTTCTTCTACTTAGTAATTTTTATTAATTACCCCCGGTTAGATAGAAACTGTTATTTTATGATCAGTAAGTTTTGCCTGCTATTGAGGCTATTGGTCGTATATATTACTATGCCTTTAATAAAACCGTTAAATTATAGTAAATTATATAGTAATAGGGTAATAATTAAGCTGGATTTAGGGCGGCGCTCGAAGGACTACGAAGTAACTAGCCTACTCGATAATACTAGGAATTGCTTTATTTTCGAATATAATTAAGGTTATTACTAAATTAGTAAATTAAATTTATTAATATTTTATATATTTATTTTAAATGTAAAGATATTATAGTTTATAATATTTAGTATATAGAAGTATTAAATTAACTATGTCTTATTTTCCTTGTTGAATACGCCGGCCTTAGTGTTAAAGATGTAGATTTTGCTAATGTTAATAATTTGCAGTTCGAGCTCCCGTTGATAATAGGCAGTAGGGTTATATTTATTAAGAACTTTTAGATTGAGGTTAATTTAATTAATAGTACTTTAAGTACTATTTTTAATGTTATATAGGATTCTAACCTTCTTAATTAAGATGTTATTGATGAATAATACCTTTATAGTAATCTATTTATTATGTTCGTTAAGTTTGACCGGTATACTAGGCCTTCTTACTTCTCTAATTAAGAAGACTAAGATCGTTTTTGTAATATTGTCCCTATTTTCTAAATTAAACGAGAGTTTAGGTCTTACCGAAATGCCTAGTATATAAGAATATAGTTTCCTTTAATTATTATATATACTATTATAGTATATAAGATATAAGGTTCTACCCTTAATATGGCTGTATTAGATATTTTAAAGAGGGACTTTTAAGTTGAACTTATATATATAATATGTAGTAGAATCAAAACTTTATAAAGCCTTATATTTAATATTCTTTTCGATTTGAGCGTTCTACGTATAATATTTAACCGTATATTTATTATAAGAACAGTTGATAAAGTAAGGAGATTATTAGAGAAATTTCTAATCCCGGGTATTTAAATACTAAAATTCCGGGCACCCGGCATTACTATTTCCGGTTTAATACCAACTCTAAATAAATATAATATATATAATACTTTTAAGTATTCCTTCTATTAATAGTATTTGTAGTTGCTCCTTCTATTTTATTTCGTATTTAATATTTCTAACGTATAGATGTCTCTTTATCTCCCTCTTTCTCTTTCTTTCGTATTCGAGTCTTTATTACTTTTATTAACTATCTATTATTAATTATTAATTATTAATTATTAATTCCTAACGCTATTATATTAATTATTTTTAAAGATAATAATTCAGAGTTTGAATAACGCTTTAATAATATACTTAAAAAAGAAGAAGAGTATTGTAATTTAATTGTTATTAAACGTTAATATACTATTATTATTAAAAGTTAGGTTGGTACTAAAACAGTATTACTAGCCAAAAATAAACTTCTTTATAAGAAGACTATAATTATTTCTAATTTTTTTCTCCCTATCTATTCAAAGTAATATATTATTTTTATTATTAATTACAATTCAGATTATTCTAGTTCGGGATTTAAATAACTAAATCTTACTATTGGTTTATAAAAAAAAAGGAAAAAAGAAGAAAGGAGTTCAACTCGACTTATTCCGCGCACCCTAATCGAATATTTTATAGTATACCCTTTTTTAGAACAACCGTCAATAGTACCGAGAGATAGTACGTCTTACGGCGGTCTTACGTCTCCTATTCCCTAGATCGGCCACACACGCAGTCAATACTAAGATTTAAAGATGAGAAGGATTTGAGAGAGGTTAATAGTATAATAATTGAGTGTTTAAACGAAAAATTAGTTACTAGTAGGGAATTAAACGCGAGAGCTCTCTATATATTTATATTAGTAGTAGTAAGAATATCCTCTATACTACTATACTAGGGGCGTCCCTATAGTACCCTAGGGGGGGCTGGTAATAGTAGGGTAGTTGGAAGTAGACTATATAGGCTAATTTGAGCGTTTTAAGTGTATTTACTATATTTGTAGTTGAGTTTATAGTTAAAATAGAGTTAACTTGCCGATACGCACCAAAAACTTACAGGTACGCACTTTGCCAGAAAATTGGGGCGGTTCAGCTGATGATACCTGATATTGTAAATCCCGTTTTTACCCGCAAAATTTCGTCTTTTCAATGTACGCGACATCGCTCTACCTTGGTTATTTCTTTTATTCTTTTTCATACGGCCATTTGTACCAGCACTCTGCGCTAGTATTTTACACTGTATTATACTATACGTAATTATATTATATACAATTATATTGCACTTATCTATACTATCTATACCTATTCAATCTATTACTTCAATGTACGTTTAATCGTTATATTTAATTAATTTTTATACTAATCGATTACTATAAATGCCCTCTATTAAGTGCCCTCGTTATATATTATACTTATTATACTCGTTGTATTCCTTTATTTCGACCTTTATTTCCAATGCTTCCTTCAACCCTGAAATTACTTGGACTATCCTAGCAGACGATCCCTTCCTTTATTTTAACCCTATTAACGAATATAATAAATTATTCGCCTACTTTATTAATTTCTATTGTTGCTATTATTTTAATATTATTATCCAACGTACCTAAAAGTTTAAGAAGCCGGGCTACGAGGGTGATAATACTATTATTAAATTAGTATATTATTGTAACTATATAGAATCCTACCTACTAGTTGTCGCTAACGAGAATTTAAAGAAGCGTTCTATATTACGAAAGAAGGTACATTATTATCCCTTTAGAGTAGTACTCTAAATTAAAAAGTATATAGAATAGAAGTAGACTGCCCGGGCTATGAATCTAATATACGAAGGCTACCCTTTATTATATACTTTAGAAAGCTATATTATATTTTATATTAAGGTATAGAATTATGAGGTTAACCTAGAAGTGAATTACTTCCTTAAAGGCCTTTTATTATAATGGGACTTTACGATACAGATAATTCTCGCTACGGTTAAAGAAAAATACCCTGAGATTCCCTAGATTTATAATAATTTTAATAATATATATTAAATAGTATGCTATAATATAAGGTAAGGGTACGATGATATATAGTTATTTATTAAACGGTTAAACGACGATTATAATAGTAAAACTCTCTATTATATTTATTTAAACTTTAAAGGTGAGGGTGAGGATATATTGCGCTATACGTTCTAATTAATTAACCGGCAGCGCCGAATATAAATGAAGTTCTTATATACTATCCTTATTGATACTACGTATAAGACTAACCGTTACTATCTCCCTTATATTCAGGAAATAATCTTTACCCTAAAAAGAACCTTTATATTAGTCTTTTAAATAATATTTAATAATAAGAAGGAGGAGGGGTTTAACTTTTTAATTTAGTATATTAAAGAGGGAGTTAATAGGTTTAAAATCCTTTACCTAGCGGTAGTTATAATTAATAGGGACCCCTAGTTTACTAGTATAATTGATAAGACCTTCTCTAATATATAATAATAATGTTATATTTAGTATATTAATTGTAACGTTGTTAATTACTTTAAAAAAGATTAGGTAGTACGGCTAAATTACAATAGAGAATAATGTAATAAGGAGGATTTTAAAGATTTAAAATAGTGTAATGCCTGGGTTATAATAATTACGAGAGCTAAGGCGGGATTCGACCCCTTGCTAGATAAGGTCGCTAATACGAGGTCTGTATTATTCTTTGTATGGTAGTATATAGTCTACTCTTTTAATACTATAGAGTTCGAATGTGCTTAGTTTATTCTACGTCGCTAATTTGGGAATATATAGGAAGATGTGGTGTTATAGATTGAGGAGAAGTTTATACTTTGTAAAGCGGAGTGGGTAGGCTACTTTACTAAATATTACTTTAATTAAGGGTAAAGAATAATATTACTAAATAAGGCTAATAATAATTCCCTTAAAAATTATAGTCTGTTAATTCGTAGTGGGTTAGTTGAATTCTATAAGGCTTATTTCTAGTATGTAAATTACTATTATAAGGTGTATATTAATTTATTGGTTAAATCTGATAGTTGTGTACGTATAAAGTGGGTTAACCGCGAGTAGATGGGTAATTGCCCGTATGAGTTATTTACGTAGGTATTTGATTTTATAAATTATTAATACTATAAATTCAATACAATATTACCCTTTATATAGTTAAGGTTCCCTAGTACCCCTCTTGAGTTTTGTATAGGGAGCTTTAGAGCCTAGTATAGATTGCTTTATACTTATAAAATAGAGGTGTTATTGAAGGAGGAGGGTAAGATAGCTTTAGTTATTAAGGAAATTTGCTATTTATTTTAGTATTTGTATTAATGATGTGTAAGTTATTATTTATACTCCGAATAATTCCTATACTAACTACTATATTAGAATATAATAGATAAATATCTTAGATTTAAGTTAGTTACTAGAGTAATATTTAAAAGCTATTTACGTAAATAAGGAGGGTTATTTAATGAGCCTATATTCGTAGTCACACCAACTGGGTTAAAAAAAGCTAAATATATACTAGCCACACTAAAGGGTAAATTACGTAACTTAGGTACTATTCGAGCTTTAGTACGCTGTAACTATTTTTGATACGAGATGGGGCCTAGTATTAAGGAGTTTAATACCTAAGATAAAGTACGTAGTTGTATTGAAGTAGCTGACGATAATAAGGAGGATAATAAGTTGGGGAGATATTGGGAGGCGAGGGTAAGGGAATAAATAGCGAGAGAGAGAGGGGAGGAGAGAGAGAGGGAGAGGGAGAGAAATGATGTTATAGAGTTATTATTAGATTCCTCCTTCCTCTTTAAACTCTCTAACAACCTCTCTAAGTTATTTAATTTATTATTAGATATAAGTTTTGAGTTGTTGGATATAAGTATTTAGAGTAGAGTATATTATATTGAGAGTTGTTTTGAACCCCTCAACTCTATGAAAAGTATTACTAAATTGGCGCTGTTAGATTTGCCCGCTGGACTAAATTTTATAGGGCATTTACGGGGGATTTACTATATTGACCCACTATATGACATTGAAAATCACGATTTTTACACCTAAAACGAGATAATTTACATGTCAGCTGTCAGATCCCAAAAGTGCGTACCTGTAAGTTTTTGGTGCGTGTCGGCAAGTAAACTCTTAAAATAATAGAAATCCCTTTAAAAGAGTTAGATCTAGTAATGCTTTAGCTAGTGTTATGCCCTCGAGTTAGGATTGGGTGCTAAGAACTTTCCCGTACTTCCCGGCTTGGCATTTCTTAGCAGGTGGATCCAAAGCACGCTTCAATATACACCGGGCATTGCTTGAGCTGAGGATCCAGCATCGCACTGGTGTCTGAGAACTATTTTAATTAAATTATTAATTACCCTAAAATAAAGTTCCTTCTAATTTTATAACGGAAGATGAAGGTATTACCTCCTTAGGGGGGGCTATAGCCGTTTAGAAACTATTACTATTATACGTCCAATTCCCCCTTATATTCTATAAATATAAATAATAGGTATTAATTGGACCCTATAGGGCTAAAGGTTTCGGTTAGGAAGTTTAATTGACAATCTTCCTCGGCTGTCCTCTTTTTGCGCTTCCTACGAATTATTTCTCTAAGGTAGTAATAATATAGAAATTGGGGGGGCGTTTAATAGAATACTCTCGTTTATAAATTCGATTATTAGTTTTAACACCTTCCTAATAAAATTCTTATAAAAAGCGAACGCCCGCGGCCTCTCAATATATATAACGGACGCCTTCGTAATAACCTTGTAAAAAATAGGATATTCCTTACAATTATAAACGAAATATCCCTTCTTCCTATACAGCTTATAATAAATAAATAACTAATTTTTATTAAACGGATGATTTATTTTGCTAAAGCGATCTCTTTTATATTTAACCTTACTACACCGGGCGCAAATATCTTCCTAATAATAAAACCTTACTATATATCTGGTTCCCTAATATTTATAATATTATTAAATATTATATAAAATTTAGAATAATTCGTACAAATATATATTACTATCCTAAAGGAAGAGGTTATCCTAAAAGAAATACGCTATTAATATAATAACAACTTCTACAAAGAATAAACCCCTACTCTCTCTATCCCTTCTTTTCTATAGCCGAATTTTAATAATAGTTACCTCTATATTTCCTTCCCTCGCTATTCTTATCAGGGTTTCCGCTATAATATAATTATTAATACTAACCTAGGGCACGCTTCGGACCAATACGCCTATAGTATTTATAGTAATAAAAATATTCGGACCGAAGACTTTTTTAACTTATACTTAATTCTACTAGTACCAATTACACGTAAACTCGTCGAATACAATCATATAATCTCCATTCATCGGTATTCTAATAGTTACGCGGACTATTAGGCCGTGTTTCTTCTTACCTAAATTTATAGTTAGGGTCATTTTCGTATCTTTATTCGAATAGTTTACAAACTCGGCGGTAATTGTCGCTCCCTTAGTTGTAAACTACCGCTCGAAATTAAAAGGGGTAAACTTTTTAATAGTAATAGTAGGTAGTTGTTAGAGGGTAGTACCGATCTTACTCGGGACGGCTATCGCCACAACATCGGCCCAATGCTTCGGCACCTCCTAGGCGCCTTTCTTAATCTCCTTTAGAATATCCTTCTTCAAGTCGTCGAAATCCTTCTTAGTAACAAACTGGTCGGTTCCAGCCTTGTCAGCCTCGGTTCTACTAGCGATAAAATTAGCTATTTATTTAATAATTTACGTTAGGAGCCGTATTTCCTATAGGGTATATAATAATTACCTATAATTAACTTTATCGAACGCTCCCTTTAAATTAAAGAGTATAAGGAATATTATAACCCCAAACTTCTAAACCGTATATATTATATTAATAATTACCCGAATTATAAATTCTATTAAACGGCCTACCCGGTTACTTATTTAACCCTCCGGTAGGAAATTGAATTCTTTAACTATTTATATTAATTTCTTAACTATAAATATTTCGAGAATTTTTCTAACGTTATTAAATAGTAATATAGGCCTCTATACGCCCGCTAGCCTTTATTAAGCGGCGCTTTTTCCAGGTTTTTTAAAAGTAATTACTTTTATATTATCAGGAACGTAGGGGAAAGGTAGGCTGAGGTGACTACGGTCGTAGCCACACGTAGGGGACAGCGAATTAGGGGTCAGTTCAAAAATATATTAATAATTACTGACTATAA